GAGGAAGGGATTTCTAATTCAGGGTCGGCGTTGAATCTTGAGGGCAGAGGAAGAAACAGAAACAGAAATAGAGGGAGTAGCCGAGGAAGATCTAACTCGAGGAACGGAAGGCCAAAGTCCAGGAACCGCAAGGGCAAGAAGGAGATCGATTGCTGGAATTGTGGCAAGTTTGGCCACTATGAGAATCAGTGCCGAGAACCCAAGAAGGACAAGGAGAACAAGACTGAAGCGAACGTGGCCTCAGGAGAATCAGATGATGCCCTAATCTGTTCGTTGGAGAGCAAAACTGAATCGTGGGTGCTGGATTCAGGAGCTTCGTTTCATGCTACCTCAAATAGAGATTTATTTGAGAACTATGTTTCAGGAAACCTAGGAAAAGTCTATCTTGGTGATGATCAGCCCTGTGATATCGTTGGCAAAGGAGTCGTGCAGATCAAGCTCAATGGGTCTATATGGAAGATGAGCGATGTGAGACATGTTCCTAGCTTGAGGAAAAATTTGATTTCCATAGGACAATTGGCGAAAGAGGGATATGTAACAACCTTCGCATGTGATACGTGGAAGGTTACAAAGGGATCCATGGTTGTTGCCCGTGGTACGAAGACATGTTCTCTCTATATGACGATAGATGCACGTGGTTCCATTGCAGTGGCTAAAAATAAGGAAGACCCAAATTTATGGCACCGGAGGCTAGGTCACATGAGTAACAAAGGTCTAAAGGTTATGCAGTCGAATGGGAAGTTACCAGGTTTGAGATCGGCTGATATTGACTTATGTGAAAGTTGTATTCTTGGGAAACAAAAGAGAATAAGCTTCAAAAGGGTTGGCATAACCCCTAAAGAACCGGCGGAAGGTTATATTTCGTGACCTTCATAGATGATCACTCGAGGAAGACTTGGGTCTATTTCATGAAACACAAATCAGAAGTATTTGAAGTCTTCAAGAGATGGAAGGCTATGGTTGAGAACGAGACCGGTTTGAAGATCAAGAAGCTTCGTTCTGACAACGGAGGCGAGTATGAAGACTCAGAGTTCAAGAGGTTCTGTTATGACAGCGGCATTAGATTAGAGAGGACAGTGCCAGGTACACCCCAGCAGATGGCGTAGCAAAACGGATGAACGGAACTTTGACTGAGAGAGCCAGAAGTATGCGGTTACAAGCAGGTTTTCCAAAGCAATTCTGGGCAGAAGCAGTCAACACAGCTGCCTACTTGATCAACCGGGGACCATCAGTGCCTTTGGAGCACAAAATACCTGAAGAAGTATGGAGTGAAAAGCAGGTAAACCTTTCTCACCTGAGAGTATTTGGTTGTGTTTCTTATGTTCATCTGAGTGATCACGCTAGAAGCAAACTCGATCCTAAGTCTCTGAAATGTTTCTTTGTTGGCTATGGCGGTGATGAGTTTGGCTACAAGTTATGGGATGAGCAGAACAAGAAAATCATCAGAAGCAGGGATGTGGTCTTTAACGAATCAGTTCTCTACAAAGACCGTGATGTCGTTCAGTCCACTAGTTCGACACAGCGTGATCCCACATACTTCGAGTCAGATGATGCCTCAGATGGAGGCAATCCCGAAGCTAGTTCTGATGAAGAAGAAGAGTTGATGGATGAGACTACTTCAGAGGGGGCAGATGAAGATGGAGAGCCTGTTTCGCCCGTCAGAGAGTTGAGGCGGTCAGCTAGAGTCCCCAAGCCTAATCCGAAGTACCCATCACTACAGCCCAGATCTCATCTCAACTACCTATTGTTGAGTGATGGTGGAGAGCCAGAAAGTTATGATGAGGCCCTTCGAGTGGATGATGCGAGCAAGTGGGAGCTCGCCATGAAAGATGAAATAAAATCCTTGAACACCAACAAGACATGGGAACTTGCGAAGCTACCAACGGGGAAAAAGGCCTTGAGCAATAAATGGGTGTACAGAATCAAAGAGGAACATGATGGTTCCAAGAGATACAAGGCTAGATTGGTGGTTAAAGGATTTCAGCAGAGAGAAGGAGTTGATTACACAGAGATCTTCTCTCCAGTAGTTAAACTAACTACCATCAGAACAGTCCTGAGTATTGTTGCAGCTGAAGATCTACATCTCAAGCAGCTAGATATAAAGACAGCTTTCCTCCACGGTGATCTAGAGGAAGAGATATATATGCAGCAGCCAGAGGGGTTTACTCAGAAGGGAAAAGAGAAGATGGTATGCAGATTGAAGAAGAGCTTGTACGGCCTAAAACAAGCTCCAAGGCAATGGTACAAAAGGTTCGATGGATTCATGCACAGGAACGGCTACTCCAGGTGCAATGCTGATCATTGCTGTTTCGTCAAAGAGTTTGACAAAAGTTACATCATCCTGCTCCTATATGTCGACGACATGCTTGTTGAGTTCGACATGAAGGATATAGGCGCAGCGAAGCAGATATTAGGAATAAAGATCAGTAGAGATAAACTCTTGGGCACACTGCGGCTATCTCAGGCCGAGTACATTAGACGGGTGCTTGAGAGATTCGGGATGAGTGGTGCTAAGGCCGTTAGCACACCGTTAGCCAGTCACTTCAGATTGACTAAGGAGCAGTGCCCCGAGACTGATGAAGAGAAAGATTACATGGCTAAGAGACTGATGAAGAGAAAGACTACATGGCTAAGGTTCCATATGCTTCAGCCATTGGAAGCCTTATGTACGCCATGGTATGCACGAGACCTGACATTGCCCATGCAGTGGGAGCAGTGAGTAGATTTATGTCAGATCCAGGAGAGCAGCACTGGGAAGCAGTAAAGTGGATTCTGAGATACCTGCGAGGTACTATAGAAGATTGCTTATGCTTCAGGAGAGGCAAGTTAGTCCTACAGGGTTTTGTTGATGCAGACTATGCTGGTGAGATAGACCAGAGAAGAAGCACTACAGGATACGTATTCACTTTGGGCTCTACAGCTATTAGTTGGATTTCTCAGTTGCAGAAGATCGTTGCTTTATCAACGACAGAGGCTGAATATGTTGCTGTGACAGAGGCAAGCAAGGAGATGATATGGCTGCAAGGTTTCTTGGAGGAGCTGGGACAGAAGAGTGAGAAGAGTGTCTTACATTGTGATAGCCAGAGCGCAATTCATTTGGCAAAGAATCCCGCTTTTCATGCAAGGACCAAACACATACAGGTCCGCTACCACTTCATAAGATCAGCGTTGGACGAGGACATGTTGAAACTTGTGAAGATTCAAGGAAACAAGAACCCAGCTGATATGCTTACCAAGGTTGTCACTACAGAGAAACTGAAGTTGTGTTCAACTTCAGTTGGCCTCAGCACTTGATGATATGGAGGCCGTCGCCGCAGAGAGAGCTGAAAGAGATTGATAGTTAGTCTCCAAGTGGGAGATTGTTAGAATATGTGAAGTCTAACTATCAGACATGCCATATACTTCAGAATGAAGAGGAACAAAGTGGAACA